TTAAGTATAGTTTACAACATGAGCGGCCGTGTTGTATGGGAATTACAATCTCGAGCCGCAGGCGAGAGATTGTAATTCCCATACAACACGGACGCGAATGTTGTAAACGACTTATAAAACTCCAACACAAATTAACATGAATTACAGTGAGATAAATGACGAAAAATGACAAATAAGGTAACTGCTGAGTTTAGTCCCTATTAAGCATGCGCAATTTACTGCAACACAGAATATTTTGAATAATTATCCATCCCACATGGAAAGCAAGCCATCTGTTGCATAAGCGAGTTCTGTTATCCGTCTTTGATTGCTTCCAAACCTAGTGAAGGTCTATGATGCGACACTAAAACTGAGACCTTTGCTAGTGTTGGGTTGTCTCACGGTGACGACCGTGTTGTAAATCTGATACAACCACTAGTGGTTGTATCCACTAGTGGTTGTATCAGATTTACAAGGTCAATCACCTGATTAAATGGTCAGCCCTTATTGGAGCAATAGCTTATGCATTATTAATAAGTTTTATAACGATAAGTAAATAACAGACAAAATTACAGAAAAATTGCCAGGTTCATTTATCTAATGGTAAAATCGAAGAAAAATGACTATATAGCAATTTTCGATCGTATTAAATTCGCCGACAATCTATCTTTAACGGCTTATTTAATCCAGAGTCATTTCATAAATACATCAAGAACTGTGTGGGAGATGACGTCACGACAACGCCATCGGATAGTGCTGATTAAGATGACTTTTCTCATTGATTTTGCAGCTCAACTAAAATAGAATACTTTTTTGATTGAATATTCTGCTTTAAAGCTGAGTTTTCTTCCAAAGGTTTCTTATTCTGAACTGATTGTGAAATTTCAAAAAGTARAGACCAACGATATATCCAACCTAATATTTACATTATAAGATGTTTCAACGATATTGTTGATTTGCGATCTGCATGYTCGAGTGTCAATTGATAGTTTTAAACGTAATTTTCTAGTGAAAATGTTCTAAAATATTAACCATAAGATGTCATTTTAAACCTTCAAGTGACAATTAAAGGTCCTATATGGTATGGGATTTTTACACGATTTCAATAACTTGCAATAATGATCTGTTACCCTGAGTCTCTCCTTTTATCCTTTAGCAGCCTAAAATATAAAAAAAAGTATTAGATAAAGAAAGACTCTCCTCGAAGGGTAAACGATCTGGAMGACTTGGAAGCACGAAAAGCAGTAAAATCTAAAAGATTATGAATTGAGTAATCAAAATATCACGTCACGAGATTTTAATAGAATTGTCAATTGTAGAGGACCCCCAAATGTTTGTTGCAGGATTGTATGATTAAAAAACAATGTAATTGAAATTGACATCTAAAACTGCTGCCGAAATCATGTAATTTTTGATAACAATCAATATGTGATGCGGTTCTAATTAACTTTAATTCGATTAAATGTTGCAAAAATAAGAAATTCAGAACCAAAATTTCCATTCGATAGTTTTAAGGTAATTATAATGGGAAGTTTCCATCTGCTTATAGCTTTTTCTTTTTAATTGACTAAAACAGCGCGTCAGTTACCTTGTTGATAAATGTCTYTCTTCTTTCGAAAAAAACTTTTATCTAAACAGGTACCTCCAGAATTCACAATTATACGTCACTTTGCAGATTGTCTCGGCGATATCTTTCTGTAAAAAAACGTTCTAAACTTTAAAAGTCATTAATCTATTTGCGCAAGTGATGTATTAGTTTGGTGCTGATATAAATACTACTAATTCAATATGCATAAAGGCTTTTATAGTCGCATCGATGGTCAAGCGAATTAAACTTTATGACATCTTGCTTCATTACACCATAATCCGCAATATTATACTCATACAAATTGAATTCCTTTAAAGGTTTATTCTAATAATTAAATGGTTTATGTTCGAAAGCAGGAGTAATTACCTTGAGTTTTCAGTGAAGACGTGATTGCTGATGCAGTTTGTAATGGGCAATGAAAGGTTCAAAGATTATTCAGCATTCTGCCACCTTATCCAGTGTCGCTTTCCTAACTATTTCTCAGTGAGTGGAACTTCTTTTCTCTGTTTTGGCAGGAAACTAGACCTTTTTTACCGATAGTAAGTTGTTATGTATCCTTGACTGACGTTTGAATTAATTTCGCAAAACGCAAGAAAGGCCAATGATGTCACYGAGTCACGTCACGTTGCTTCGCAGTTGAAAGCACAAATAGTGCAAAATGAAAATACTTGACGGTTGAAGTCGGTTACACGGGAAACGGATGAACGACTCTAGCTGGGGGTCTTCGAAGTCGTATTAGCGTATTTGTTTGTTTTTGTTGTTGTTTTTTTTCGCCACTTCTTGTACTTCATTTTTCTTAATTTTGTACTCGTCAAGAAAAAGATGTTTTCTTTTTAACTTTTTGTTACAATGGTTTTCGCGAAAACTCATTAGAGCGGATCTCACAAACCCACGAATAAAAGTACTTGATATAATGCAATAATTTGTAATACTGTAGTCATATTCATTAACAGTAGAACGCAAAAGAACAACTAGCAAGTGTTGATATGAAGGAAAGTTACTATCGATGTTATTTATTATATTTTATTGGTCATTATGAATATACGTAAATCGTAGTTCAATGCCTGTAAGTTTGCATGACTTAGTTTGTTTTGCCAAGGCTGACATTTCGCCGTGTCCAAAGTACAGTTATGATCAGTACGCATCATTTTACGAAGCAGTAACAGTAATAACTAGAATGCTGCAGCATKCACGTGCATATTTGCACTTGCCTGCATTAAAATTTGATTTACTTCAGTTAAGTAGWGTACATGCAAACACTAAAACTGTGCAACATAAATACCACTAAATACTGCTAAATTATGCTAATTCTAATTTTTTCTATTATTTAATTAACACTATTTTGTAGTAAATAGTGCAAAGTGTTGCACACATTTAATGTTTATACTCTAATGAAACTATCCATAGCTGGCAATAATTTGTCTGGTCCGCGCTTGAGTAGTATATTAGTCATTATTAAAATGTAGGGTATCGCCAACAGAAGAAATCACCTTATTTTTCTTGCGTAAAACGCGAAGACAAATGTGAGTTTCATTTTCATTGTGCTGTTGTTATCAAGATAGAGAATAATTAACTAGACGATCATGGATCGCTTACGTGGGCTTCCTGTGACAATGGTGTTTCATTTTCACAAGATAGTCTTTGTTTGTAATAAGTCAAGACAGAATTAAGTTAATATGTTATCAATTTATTACATCATAATTTTTTACCGAACTGAACTCTAAGTAAATTCTTTGGATACCATGTCTTTTTTCTCAGTTTTCCAAAATAACTAGCTCGACTTTACGCTCAAGAGCGTCTATATTATTCAAAATATCTGATAGGTCATATAGGTCACATAAACAATAGAAACGGTACAGTCTTGGCAGTATAACTTTGAATAATATTTTGATCATTTTAATCATGTATCTGTATCTTGTGTTTCTGTTCTTTTTTATTTTGTGTTTATCATTAATTTGTAAATCTGGCGTTCTGTGCCATCATAAAGATGTACCTTAGCCTTCTAATGACAGTTCATATTTTTGGATTTGTCTAAGTTTTTCAAGTTAAACAATCATCAAAACAAACAATAGAGAATTAAAATGCTTCATACACAATATATATTTTGTATACAGAGTTCAGTAAAGCTCACACGTGCAGTTTTCCGAACTTCAAACACATCGTTAGTTTAGAAAATGGCATCAATATTTTTCAGATGAG